TCTCCCAGAAGGGTCGAATAAGGGTGCAGTTCCCCCAGATGTGTGTGAAGGTGCCTCCTCGCAACTCCAGCAGGTATCTGGCGTCTTTGGGTCTCTCGCGTGGAGTGTCGACAGGATTAGGTACCACCTGGTGAAGATTTTCGAGGAATTTCCTTGTAACCTTACCGATCCTGGTGTTTTCTGCACAAGGGTGACGATCTTGACCAAGTCGGGCCCTGCCATGGCCTCATTGAGGTCTTCCTCCCAGTGCCTGATGTAGGGGGGCGACAGAAGGTATCTGTTCGTGATGATGTCAGAATAGATCTGAGATATGGGTCGAGGTGGTTCCAGTTCTAGTGTGCAGAGAAGTTCGAATTGCGTTGGTTCTCTCAGCAGGGAGGGCTTTTGGGGGATTGCTCTGGTGTATTGCATGATTTGTGCTCATGCTAGAGTGTGTGTGAACGTATGTGGTCGGTTGGGGAAGAGTTCGGTCAGCGGGCAGATGTTGAACGGGCATTGGAAGATGTCCTTTATGCGTAGAATTGGTATATGCCTGGTCAGGCCTGCTATTGGGCCCTGGTCCCCCACCGAAAAGTCTGGGTTGCCCCTGTCAGGGTCTTACCTGGGTTGGGAGTCTGTAGCGCAGATATGTTGCTCACCCTTGCAGATAGCCACAGGCCAAGGTGGTCAGGTAAGAATTCACCCGGCCTGTGGGTCTGTGCACGGGGGCTGTGCAGGATGAAGTACCAAGTCGCAGGACAGGCAAGGACTCAAAGAGCAGGATCGTCAAAGGATAGCCGAGGTCAAAGGATGCCAGAAGACAGGAACAACGAGGAGTAGCCGAAGTCAAGGGATGCCAGAGGTCAGAGTAAACGTAGTCAGAAGCCGGGGTCAATAACAAGTAGCAGCTCAAACAACAGGAACACTGGTACAAACCACACAACAGGATCAAAGACTTGAGGCTGATCACAGGGCGAGGCTGAGTTTAAATACCCTGCTAATGTCTGATCAGGGTCAGGTGAAGCATATCCAAAGTCAAGGTACAGCCCCCAGAGTAATAGACATGCCAGGATGAACAGGACCAGAATGACATGTGGAATACAAAAGCTGGTGTGGCTCAGAGGAAGGAAGCAGGACCAGGACTGCGAAGTTCCCCTGTTCAAGTCCCTTGTTGGGAACTCCATGGGTGACCACGTCTGGCCGTCTGTTTGCTGCGGCGAGAACCGTGACAGTACCCCCCTTCAAGAACACCCTCCGGGTGTGATTTGGTTGCTCATCATTACCTTCCAGATCAGAAGTACCTTTCTCCTCTGAGAGATCAAATATATCATCTGGCAGGAGGTACGTTCTTCCATAGGCATCCATGCCATACGTACGGCCTTCTTCCAGATTAGAGGGAAACACAGCACCTACTGTAGCCTTTGCTCTAGTAGTTCTCACAGGGGAGGTATTCGCAGCTTTCAATGCTTTTTCAAATATTTCTAGATCCTGTTTGCATACAACTGTGCCATTTGAGGCATACATGCAGTCAGGTGGCAGAACTTTTTTGGCAAGGCAGGAAGTGGTAATGGTGCTTGCTTGAGCAGAAGTGTCATCAGGAAGAGGTCTAGAGGTTTCTGGAGCAGGAGGTGGAGATTTCACAGGGGTACTGGTTGCAGGTTCTTGAGGGACACTGGTAACATTGACTGTAGTAGTTTGGGTACCCTTTTGTGTCACAAGACGGGGACACGGCTGGCATGCAGTGTACACAGGGTGGAGGAAAGTAGTACCCAGTCGGAGAGCTGGAGGTCTAGGAGGACGAACAGGGCAAAGTGTGATGAAATGCCCTCTTTCTCCACAGTAGTAACATAGGCCATGGCTTCTCCTTCGGTCTCTTTCCTCAGGTGTCACTTTGCAGTGAACAAGTCCTAATTGCATAGGTTCCTCAGGGTCGAGTGGAACACAGGATACCTCAGGAGTTTTCATAGGAACAGGATCATAAGGAGACATCACTGGGGTGTAGTGGTGGTACTGGGTTTCTTGGTTACGAAGAATCTGAGATTTTTTGGTACGTGGAGCTGGCTTGGTCACAGTGGTCTTGCATTGTGAGTCCATAGCGGTACTGAAGGATTCCAAGCTGACAAGGACAGGACTCTTTGTCTGCAACATTTGGTGAGCCCATACTTTGATGCATCCAGACAACAGGTTGATAGCCGCTCGGACGTTGATGAAATCTGTGGAATATGTTCGAGGCTTTAAAGAAAACAACACCTCACAATCCATCTTAAAGGACTGAAAGGATGTGCGGCTACCATCAAAACGGTCGGGCATGATGACAAACGGTTCAGGATAAGCTGGTTCCGGGGCTGGACGCACTGCGCCTTTAAGAAATAAAATTTCTTGCTGCAACTCCAAAACAGTCTGGGCCAGGCTGGACACTGGTTGGGACAGGGGTGAGCACATCTCTGCGGACTCCATATTGCTCAAGTCTTTTTGTCAGGGTCTTACCTGGGTTGGGAGTCTGTAGCGCAGATATGTTGCTCACCCTTGCAGATAGCCACAGGCCAAGGTGGTCAGGTAAGAATTCACCCGGCCTGTGGGTCTGTGCACGGGGGCTGTGCAGGATGAAGTACCAAGTCGCAGGACAGGCAAGGACTCAAACAGCAGGATCGTCAAAGGATAGCTGAGGTCAAAGGATGCCAGAAGACAGGAACAACGAGGAGTAGCCGAAGTCAAGGGATGCCAGAGGTCAGAGTAAACGTAGTCAGAAGCCGGGGTCAATAACAAGTAGCAGCTCAAACAACAGGAACACTGGTACAAAGCACACAACAGGATCAAAGACTTGAGGCTGATCACAGGGCGAGGCTGAGTTTAAATACCCTGCTAATGTCTGATCAGGGTCAGGTGAAGCATATCCAAAGTCAAGGTACAGCCCCCAGAGTAATAGACATGCCAGGATGAACAGGACCAGAATGACATGTGGAATACAAAAGCTGCTGTGGCTCAGAGGAAGGAAGCAGGGCCAGGACTGCGAAGTTCCCCTGTTCAAGTCCCTTGTTGGGAACTCCATGGGTGACCACGTCTGGCCATCTGTTTGCTGCGGCGAGAACTGTGACAGCCCCTCAAGGGGAGTAGCAGGCCTGGGTCTGTCATTAGATACTGTTTCGTGCTCTGTCTATGCCAGATCTGCACGGTCGCTGCTACGAATGGGTTGGGTATGTGTTTGTGCCTGTATGCTTCTTTGGTGATCCATGGCAGGGTCCTTAGGACACACTTGGTTGTTTCCAATTCCAGCTGGGTCCATGGTTTTGTGCCGCTAGCTACTGACCAGCTAATGACCCTGGTGATGTGTCGCGTGGTAGTACTTCTCGAAATCCGGGAACGCTAGATTAGGTATCTCATGCGTTGGTCACACCAGCGGTACGGGTATTGATGTTGGAGCATCTGTCTGAGTGTGTGGTTGATTGAGAGGCCCAGTATCTCTGATTTCGAGTAATTGATTTGAAGGTTCGAGACTTGGCCATAAGTCTCGAATTCTGATTGTATTGCTTGTAAGGAGGACTCTGGGTCTGTGACTATGAATATGAGGTTGCCCGGGTTTTGTGATGGGTTTTTCCAATTTTCATTCCTTGTATGTTGTCATTGCGTCTGATCCTGTTAAGAAAGGGTTCCAGCGTCAGTGCGTCCTGGTGGTGTTGTCCCATACCTCTCTCCCTGGGATGAATCCCCCCTTTGGTCCAGCTGTATCGTTGCGGATAGTAGTGGTACTAGGCGTGCCGCCAGGATACTTGCCAGGAGCTTGAGGGGTGGTTATGTAAGTGTGATTCGTCACTGTTGCAGCTGTGTCTGGGTTCAGAATTGAGTCGACTATGGCTCATGCTGCTCCGTTGGAACCCGGAGTATGTGCAGGTTAACAGACAAGTTTCCCGGTAGTTAGACTTCTTGGTCCAGCAAGATGGTGGACTTAGGTCGACTCCAGGAGTAGAGTCTCTCCTCCTAAATGTGTGATCGCTATGCCCTGTCCCTTTGGAGGCGGCGGGTTGCCTGACTAGGGTGGCGTACCCTGTCCTGTAGTGTCTAGATATACTCTACGATTTAGTGAGGGTATTTTAGGTTAGAGTATTCTCTGTATGTGGTACGTGATCACCTGACTCCATTGTGGCTTTGGGCTAAGTATGTCCGCTGCACCTCTCGCTGCGGTGTGTGTTTGGGTCATCTGTTGTGTGTGGTCAGTCATATTGTAATGGATGTGATTATTCTGATATGGGTCCACCTGCCTTGATGGAATCTGTATCTAAATCTCTGGGGGGGTGCCGTAACTGGGGGCCGTCCAGACGTTTGTTTGGTCCGAGTGGTGAGCTTAAACCTGACTATTCGGATTATCCAGGTGGACGGGGATGGCCCAGGCGGTTCCTGAGGAGGTCAACTATGTGTGGAGGACCTAGGGGTGCTTGTCTCAGCCTTGGTGTTTGTCTACAGTCTGGCTGTGCAGCGGGTGGGGTTTCTGTTGGGCTGACTGTCTCATTTTTCCTGCTGTTCTATTGGGTTGTTCCCCTGTCTGTCGTGACCTTATAGCTATATTGTATATGGGTCAGTCATGTGGACGTGTAACAGGTGTAGCGGTGCATTAGTTAGGCATACATTCCTGGTATAAGAAATACAGCATTAGCAGCAACATGACATCAACCTGTGTGGCAAGTCAGTCGACCTGCTGAAGACGTTAGTCCAGCTTGAGTCTCTCCTTAGTGCCGTTGTGACCAGGTGAGGAGGGAGTGAATAATCGGGATTTGTGCCTTCCTGCTTTAAACTAGGTATGGTATCCCAACTTATAGTCTAACTAATAGGTATATGTAGGTAAAACAAAATTTCCATCCCCCTCCCCAGTCCCAGCATGCAGGGTTTGCGGTCAGTCATGGGCCCCCATGTACAGTACTTACAGCCTGTCTTGCCGTCCAGGTGATGCAAGGGTGTCCCTTCTCCCACCAAGGCAGTGTGGTTCAGCATGGGCTCAGATCTTTCGTTTTGCTGGCTGGGCGCCAGTCTCAGTGACGTTGTGGTTGGGGTCTATGCGGGCCTGGGTCATGTCTGTGTGGTTGCTGGGGTCCATTTGGTTGTTGGAGGAATGACCTCGCCTGCCAGTTGGGTACCGCTACCGATGGGTGTCCCAGGGTGTGTAGAAATTCTGGGCCATCATCTGGTTTTCTCACCACTAGGAAATTTGGGCCGTGTCGGGCTGATAAGGAAAAAGGGTATCCCCAGCAGTATTGTATGCCGGCTTGTTGCAGGGTGGTAGTCACTGAGTGCAAGGCTCTTCTGGCCAGTAGTGTGCAGTGGGATAGGTCTTGGTATATTGCTATCGTTTGGCCCTCTAGGCGGATGGTGCCCATGCGGCGAGCTGTGCGCAGTATTTCCTCTTTCAACTGAAAATGATCTAGACAGCATATAATATCCCTGGGCTGGTCTTCTGGTGCAGGTGGGGGTCTCAGTGCTCTGTGAACCCTAATGAGGCCTAGTCTGGGCATATGTTGGCCATTAAATACCTGGCTGAAGATCTGTCTCAGGAGTTCTGGGATGTTTTCAGAGGGGCCTCCTTCTCTCACTCCGCGGACACGCAGGTTCAGCCTGCGGCCGCGGTTATCTAAGTCATCTACCCACGTGGTTAGATGGGCCATATCTGCTTCATAGCTTGTTACCATGGTGTTGGTCTGCTCAAGGTCTGTTCGGAGTGCTCTGGTTTCTGCTTTAGCCACCAACATTCTTGACTCCACATTTGCCAGGTTAGCACACAATTGGGCTACTTACTCATGGACCACGCAGCCCAGGCAGTTAGAAAGTGAGCAGATTGGGTAGTATCTCCTTCCACTCACATTCCGGCGGTATCTGGGGCTCCGATGCCTGGGATGGTGTCGGTGAAAATGTAGCCAGGGTAGAGGGGAAGATAAAGAATGTAACAATTGTGTATTTAATATTATTGAAATAGTTTATTTTCATTATTTTCCATGAAACTAACATGAGAATTATACACATTATCATTGAAGGGAAACTCTAAGCAACATAACCATTACAACTTAGAGTTCTAGTGCAAAAAGAGTGCCCACGAAGACTCTGCAATGTAAATATTGTCTTTCCTGAGAAAATTAGTGTTTATATTGTTCCCATAGGCATTCTCTACTGGCTGTTGCGCAGACAGCCATTAGAGGGGCTTCATTGAGCAGACCTGCAAACTTTGCAATGCTGACATTTGTCTGCATCGTTTTTCTGAAAATATCACATGGCTGAAATTTGTCTGAACTGAAATGTGCATGGTTAAGAGCTAAATCACCCCCACCAAAAAAAAAATTGGGGAGGGGGTTGGGGAGGCAAATTGATTTGTATAAACCATTTTTTGGACACTCATCACTGTACTCATTTGCATTTTTGTATGTTTACATTTGAATAGATCAAATTTAATAAAATGCACTTTTTATTTTGCCTATCACTTACTCTTGTTTAATTGAACAGGTTCTGTCTCTATCAATTGAATCTTTTATGCTGAACCAGTTCTTACATTTCTTTCACAGTCTTCATCACATTTTACAGTCATAACAAAAAATCTCTTAAAAGTCTTCCTATTTAAGAAGACTACTCTTTATCTCCAAAAACATTGATTTTGTACATTATTAAGGTAATGTCCACCAGTCTGGATAAAGTGCTATGTATGAAAAACGCTGACTGTAATTGCTGGTGATCTGAGATGCTGTGAGCTTGAAGCACTGTCTGTTTGAGATATGGTTTTAACTTGGAAATAAAGATGAAGACATTTTAACATGAAACATGGCAGTGGAGTACTCCTTACGTTTGCTGCTTTTCACCTTGCATAAGGGAAAACACTTGCTTTTTCTAGTCACTACTATCCGATGAACAACAATTTATTTTCTCCAGTTTTTATTCTACCATAACTATGTTATATTGTCTGTGTGATAAATATTTTCACTTTTTGGGTTTTCATATGATTAGTCTTAGATGTAGTGGCAAGAGAGGCTGAGACAAGATGCAATAAAGAAAATGTTCAATGTAGAAAACATATGTCAAAACCATGCAATCCATTGCAAAATCACCAGGTGCAACAGAAGAACAGCCACAACAGGTATGGGACATCGTGTCTAAGACCTGAAGTCCCCAACACGTTTTCTTGTGCTGTGGCTGTCCCCCTGTTTGCTCTGTGTGAGTTCTCTTTGTTACGTTATGACTTTTTCTTGTCTTTTGAGCATACTCTGTCCAAGAAGTATTACCTCTGTTACTGGCTTCTCATGGCCAGGGTCAATACCATTATATTTTTATAGTGTTGCTAGTCTAGTTTAGCTGTATTTAAAATATATTTTATAGCAACCAAAACATTTTACAATCTTTTAAAAGCTATAAGGAAACTATACTTTTATTATGACAACTATGCTGCCATTTTTAGCCCATTTGCAGTATTTAAATGGTCAAAGTGGACCTCTGGCAGAAAACAAAATGTTGTATTGCTTAGTATGAGAATAAAAGTAAACATATGCATACTCATTTGTGGCACTGAAGGGAAGGCATTTAAAAATATGTGAATATATCAAAATGTTTAAATATTGAAATATTTTTCAAAATATTAAATAATTTGAAATGTTTGTAAAACAAAATGTAAAATATATATTTAAAAAGTATATCCAAAAATATTAAATTGAAGTCTATGTTGACCTGATGATAACTTAAAAAATAGTTTAGATGCATCGTGTTCTTCTCCAACACAGCTGAAACCTATATTTTGCTTTAAAATATTTTTTTTTTAGACTACCCACACATTTGATTTATCTGCTGGCGATACTATTTTATCAAAGGGTAAAGCAACACATTTAGTCTCTGGTGTAACATGACCACAAGTTGTCCATCAACAAGATATATCAGTCCAAAATAGCATTTCTGATTTCTTTCACAAATTACCAGCTCAGTTTTCATTAAGGCAAAAGTAACTGACATTCAAAACTACAAATCTTGTATTGTTCTTTTCAAAGTTTAAATGTCACAAAAGATGTATGGACAAAAAGCACATCGAACTTAGCTATCTTGCTGCAATATATCCACATGAACTTTGATGAAACAATAAAAGCAAATATTCAATTTATGTTTCTTTAACTATTTCATTGTTTGGAAAATAAGCAACAAAACATGTATATGAAACAAGGGCTGCACGGATTATATCTCAATATAGTCAATATCTATCTATCTATCTGTAAAAAAACAGATAAAATCTTGCAATACCTTTTTTATTGGACTAATAGCATTTTTTAATGACAAGCTTTCGGGGGAAATCCCCTTTCTCAAGTCTGATGCATTTCTGATCAAGACGAAACATAAAATTCAAAGTTGAGTTGTGATACAGGGATCTATAGATATATATACATATTGACTTTCTCAACCCTTCTGGTGGTATTTTTGTATATTCTTTATTCTTGGGTTCTCTACCAGAGCCCTGGGAGTCTGTCTGGGAGTCTTTCCTAAAACTGCCCTCTAAGGAGCTGATTCTAAAACTGCTCTCTTCTGGACAGCGATCTCAGATGTCCAACTGGAATCTGCTGAAGCCCCAAGTACTCTTATCACAACTGGAACTACTACTGCCTTCACTTTCCACATACTTTCTAGCTCTTTTTGAAGTTCTTCGTATTTGTCAACCTTCTCATGTTCCTTCTTCCTGATATTCTGGTCACATAGTTAAAGGAAGAGCGCACGCACAAACAAAAACACAGTTTTACATTTAACAAGGCTACTTAAAATCACCTATTTTAGCAAATAAATATGGGGTTTCGGTTCCACCATATGGCAATTTTGTGTTAATTCCACCACTATGTTACAGTGCCCCAATATCGGTGGGTCCTACTCTAATTTAACATGGGAGATTTACATACTAACTCAGCCTAATAGGAATCTGGTCTGGATTACAAATCTACACAGGTCACTGAGTAATGCCACATCCACCACCACTGCAGTCTTTCGGTCTTTGTCTACCACCTTAGTGTCAAGTTAGTTGGCCAGCACTTGCTTGTCTGCCTGGATCTGAAAGTCCCACAGGATCTTAGCCCTATCATTTTCAACTACCTGTTGTGGTATTTCCCACCTAAATGTAGGCAAGTTCAGTCCATATTCTATGCAGCTATTTTGGTACACAATACCACTAACCCAGTGTATGATGTATGATATATGGAAAGAAGCAGCCTGTAGTTGTGGGAGGGGTTTATCCAGACTATAATTTCACAGGCCTCCCCTTCCTCTGAGACTTTCTGGTTCAGTACAAAACCATCTACTTCCGGTCCAAGGGTCGTCAACACAAACTACCTGAACTCCAAACAAACAAGCTGGTCTTTGCCAGTGAGGCCAAAAAAACAAACAAAACAAAAAAACAGCCCTCCCTTGAAGCTTATGGGGCACTGCCACATCTGGCCCAGCAGCAGCTTTTCCTGTTGCTGTTTGCGTGTTTTGTTTTTCAACAGTTTTTTTCGCTTTGGTCTGCATTGGGCCATGCTATCACTGACATTTCACACATATTCAGCCAACATTTGGCCTTTCACTAACTCGGGTGGCATTAGCATTTCAATCTTCCTATATCATATTCCTTCCTTACTCGGATATGGCAAATTTCAATACTAACGCAAATACGGCTTATTTCAGTCCCAGCATCACAGTGATACCTCAATTCGGTTCATGCATTATGCTTACTGTATTTGAAATATAGAAACATAGAAATATAGAATGTGATGGCAGATAAGAACCATTTGGTCCATCTAGTCTGCCCAATTTTCTAAATACTTTCATTAGTACCTGGCCTTATCTTATAGCTAAGATAGCTTATGCCTATTCCATGCATTTGATAATATCATATTTTATAATGTGCAATTTAGTTAGTCACCCTACGTTCTTTTGTATAATAAATGCTATGCCATATTCCGTTTTCATATTTGTAGCTTATTATTGTCAGCCCACATGGCCTCGGTTATACTGGTCAGCATTTGTTACTCATGTTCACAAGGCCTCAGTACCTATATGTATTTTTCATGGTTGCCCTCTTAGTATTCAAGCACTCATGGGGCATACACTGTTTATTAATTATGTGACAAAGTGTTGCTACTGACTGTCTAAATTTATGTCAGGCCCAACTTAGGCCTATACATGTGTTCAGCATTTATGGTATGGCCTGTTAATAATCTGTCTTATTTCACTGTCTGTCATACTTACATTGTTTTAGCCCTTTCTAGGCTCAGCACGGGTTTAGTTAATCATACTTTAAAATTATGTCGGTCATAATTATGTCTGTTCTATGGTTATACGGCCATATACATGGCCCTCATCTAAATGTTATAGTCGCACTTCAATAAATGCATACCATGAACCAGGTCTGTCGCTCAGGTGTCATCAGTAAACATACTTAAAGGGACATACCACTGCCCTAAAATAAAAAAAGAATAAATACCTTAAAAAAAACAAAAAAACTGCTTAGTAGATATACCCCAAATGAAAACATGCATTTTTTTCAATGTTTTTATTATTATTTTTATTATATTATTTATATTTATTATATTTACAAGTGTGTCTTAACAAGCAGAACCTCTAAAACATGGTACTGGCATTCGATTCGACCATCACTATCCTCACATTAATGTATGTTATCCTAGCTTTTGCTGTTGTTTCAACCCTATTCTTCCATACCAATTATGTATGCATAAGTCTTAATCATCCTCCTAGGCATTCCACA